TTATTATTATTATTATTATTATTATTTCCTTATTGTACTGTTCTCAGAATGTTGAATTTGCTTAAAGATAATTTTTTTGTCTAATTATTATTTAAAGTTTGAAATAGTTTTAGTTTAGGTATATATTTTTTCTGATAATACTCTGAGGTACGATTTACTTATAGGAAGAGATAATATATTTTATTATTATATTTACTGTAGAAGCTTCATTTAGGGATAGGGATATATTCTTTATCATACCCCGAAGCTTAGACTAGTTTTAAGGGGAGACACCATACGGAATATATTGCATAACATTAAAGCTTGAATAAATTTTAGGCAAAAAACTGTAGAGAATAAATTAATCATTAGAGTAGAAAATTGTGTTTACTTAAATACGTGTAACTATTTTAAACGAGGAACTCTTCTTTTATGTTTTGAATGGATGTTATTTGGAAGAGCCATCAAGTTCTATATTTTAATACTTTGATGGTATGAAGGTGACCGAAATTACAATCATATTTATATAAAAATTTCAATATTTTTAAACTTTAATTAATACCCGGTAATATACATTCAAAAGCATGACTATTCTAAGAGGGATAACTATGAAGAAGATTTTTCAATACACTGTAGATTTTAAATTATTTTTTGAGAAGGAAAACTTTAAGGAATATAATTTCTTACACTAAGGTTTAAGTTTGCTGTTGTGGCTGATCCATAGGGAACAGCTACTCTGTATTCTCAGCGTGTGGTGAGCGGAGACTTACTGTACAGCCTGAGGTGGGTGGAGGATACCTTTCGTGGTGAGTTAAATCCTGTAGGAAATGTTGTATACTTTGGCATTTTATTTCTTGTGAGTCTTGTACACTTGTTTTGCCTCATTAAAACACAATAGAAGTGCGGTAGATGGATAGATAGATAGATAGATAGATAGATAGATAGATAGATAGATAAAGTAGATCATTGCTTCGATTTGTTACTTGTAAGAATAATTACTTGAATTTGACATAGGTAAGATAAATTTAAAGCCTCGATTTGCTGTACTGTAGGTAAGTTATGCTAAAGCTTCAATTAAAATTTCAGTTAGTTATCACGTTCAGAGCTTCGTGTGTGTACCAGATTCCCAAGTGTTGCAATAGGAAAAGAGAGTTGGTGCCAGTACACATCCTTGTTTTACCCCGTTTGGATGGGGAAGAACTCGGACTGGGTGCCATTGTAAAGGACACTACCGTTCATGCCATTGTGGAATTGCTTCACAATGGCGATGGATTTGGGTGGGAAATCTTTAAAACGGCTGAGGGTCCGCCAGAGGTCTTCCCTGTTGACCTAGTCGAAGGTTTTAGTAAGGTCGATCAAAACCCATGTACAGTCCCCTTCACTAGTGCTTTTACAGGGGCTCGTCATATAAATATTCCACAAATGATTATCTTTTGATGTGTTTGTTTTAATATTGTCTAAATTTGATTCTATAGTATGTTGACTATTGAGAGTTTCCTTCTGTCGCATATAAACAAACACAGTGCTGCCACACTGCACAAAACCTGATGAGTCCCTGTAAACGCACTAGTGAAGGGGACTTTACATTACAGGTCACGACGATGCTCTCTGCTCTTCTCCTATATCTGGCGAGCAGCAAAGATCATGCCAGTAGCGTCAAGAGATGGTCTAAAGCCATAATGGTGTCAAGTCATAGTGACACACACACACACACACACACACACACACACACACACACACACACACACAGAGTTGACGTTTTATCGCATGTGTTCATGATAGGTTAACCATTGGTGCCTCGTCACAAGAAATACGAACTATGCACAATCATTCACGTTGATGCCCAAAACAATGGGAAATAATGGAGCTTATGATCATCCGAACGATATAAGAAAGTTGGGGGTAAGAACAGACTGCCAAATGTGTCCCGGATTCCCTTATGAGGTTTTACTATCATTATCGTAATCTATTCGCCATCACATTTGCAACTGATGAACTCGATCTAGTCAGAATATAAACAAAATTGAAGATTGAGAGTGACAGCTGCGTCCATGAGTGAGGGACCAACGCATTATATTGTGACTTATAATGATAATGTCTACAAATTTATGAGTTAATATGTTTTATATCTGTTTGTTTTGTGTTGTGATTATAATATATGATTGTGAATGGCATTACATATTTGTGAGTGTCGGAAAACTTATGAGTGATACAAGCGAGTCAACAATAACGACAATACGAGTAGGCATTTAATAATAAGCAAATGTGACTAATTTTGACACTCTACTTATAATGGTATTGATAAGCTTATTTTCGTAATATATAGGAATTTGTTTAAATAATAATAATAATAATAATAATAATAATAATAATAATAATAATAATAATAAATGAATATGATAATAATGTTTGTTATACCTTGTTTTGTAGATTAAGTGAGCTGAAGAAGGTCTAAATCTAAAGTTTGTATCATACTGCAAGACCTGTGAGAATAACACCACAGTGGCTAGTAGTAAGAGCTATTTTAATTGTCCTAAAATTAAGGAAGCACCATATCTTAAACTCTTCTCCCCTCCCCTTCCTCTCCACCTTCTCGCTCTCATTATTCTTTCCTGCACTGCTGGTTGTCTTTCCTTCATGGCGGGCGTGACCCTCCCTCACCTCTATTATGCACAGGCCAGAGATACGACGCCCGATAATCATGATTCTGACAAACTAGATCCCATGTAATTTATCTGTATGTCGTACGTGTTCTGGAAATTGCAGAGTGAAGTTCCAGAGTTCATATCCTGAAAGAGTCGTATCTGTTCTAATTTTTCTTCACACCATTACTTGGCAAATTAAAAACGCGTTTTCCTGTTTAATTTTAGCTAAGGCGATAAGATTACGTCCAGATTAGCTTAAGCAGACACAACCTGACATCTTCTATTACGCGAAAATGTTAACTGCGTTTTTTTTCTCAGGAATTAGGAAGTTGTGCATTGGAAGAATTGGTTCTTATTTGTTAAATTTAAATAGATCCCGGATGATTAAGGTAACAGTCACCCATTTCCTGGATGATTAATGTAAGATACAGTCACACATAAAAAATGGCCCCCGGAAGAAAGGTCTTGTAACCCGTGGCATTTCACTGCTAGTAACAGTGCACCTGACGGAGGGGGTGTTGGGGAAGGTGTTAGATCACTGCCATCTGCACGAACCACTGAGCCTCGACTCATGTTTCACTACATGCACAACTAATACGGTAATACTTGGTGATTATAGCGACAGGTGTTATCTTTAGTCATTATATTCCAAGATCCTAATAACATTGACGATCTAACCATGCAATTCTCGTTGTTTGGGGGCCATATACAGTACTCTCCCTGCTTGGAATTTTCGACCTTACTCAATAATTATATAAGGTCTCTCCCCAACTCACTAATTCAAACCATGATCGATTAAATATTCGAATAAACTCTCCTTTTTTTTTGGAAGAACAACCTTAGTTTGGATATAGGTTATAGTACGATGAATAAGGTCAATTATAATAACAAATGTAATCATAAAATGTATACTGTACTTCATATTATACTAATTACCTATTTAATGTTTGCCAAGGATTTTATTGAAACACTAACCTAACCTAACCATAATCTCATTTTACATATTTGAAGTGTAATCGCGTGTGTGTGTGTGTGTGTGTGTGTGTGTGTAAGTGAAGATATACCTGATTTGAGTAAAAGTTAGGTATGCTCGTTTATATTCACCTGGAATTAGTAGTGCATGAAGTGAAACATGAACCGAGGCTCAGTGGTTCGTGTAGATGGTAGTGATCGAACACCTCCCCCAACACCTCCCCCAACACCTCCCCCAACACCCTCCCCGCCAGGTGCACTGTTACCAGAACTGAAATGCAACGAGTTAAAAGACCTCTCTTCGGTGGGGGGGGTCTTTTGTATCAGTCACCCATTTTCTGGATGATTATGGATGTCAGTCACCCATTTTCTGGATGATTAAGGATGCCATTCACCCATTTTCTGGATGATTAAGGTACCAATCACTCATATTCTGGATGATTAAGGATGCCATTCACCCATTTTCTGGATGATTAAGGTACCAGTCACTCATATTCTGGATGGATGGATGTTTTTGTAATGAAAGATACCCAAGACACTGGATGATGGATAGCAATGTAGATTGACCTCAGCTTGTGGAACAATAATGTTATTTTGCTGTGGTTCTCTGTCGTGTTGTTCTTCAAGAGGGAATGTTATTTTGTTAAGGTGTTCTATATCTCGTGATTTTCTTTAAATGTTGTGATATTTTTTGTCCCCTGATTTAATTATAATGTTTTTCCTAACGACTCTCGTTAGTGTTACGTTTATCTTGATTTTTTCTTATTTTGCCTCATTTTTTTTCCTTCGTTTTTATTCAGCAATGTCATTTACTCTAAAGTTTTGTCTCATTTCTCCATTAGTCTGTTCTTAAATCCCTTTTCTCCTTTGTTGTTTATTTTCTGTTCTTCCTTTAGTTTTCCTTTACTTTCCTCTGTTATTTTTTTTCGCCTTTAAATTTATATATACGTTTATTTATTTATTTTTTCCCATTCTCTTCGGCCGTTAAATAAACACAAAACTTATCGACACGTAGTTCATGCCGTTGATTCATCATATTGTGTTGTAATGAAGTACATTAACGTTTCCTCTTCTTTCAGTGGTAGTGCGTGGCGTGGTGTGTACTGTGTAGTATTGTGGATGTGAATGATAAGCCCCGCCCCCCCACCTGTTGCTTCGCCCGCGCGCCACTAGAGGGACGGCTGCCACCGCTCGTTGAGCCTTTCCACCCGTTTAATACATATACGCTTTTCATTCACTGTGCTGGCGATTATTTCTGATTATCTTCGTTTTTTTATATTTATAATAAGACCTTCATAATTATGTTATAAAAATAGTTGCTAATTAATTGATTTCCAGTGAGTTTTTACCACATTTGGTATGTAAATAGAAGCTACACTTTTAAGCCGGGGGATAGCGCAGGCCACCCTTTGGCAGTTCGGCGTCTTGCAACAGGTCTGACACCTCGTGTGAGGTTAGTCGGCGTTTGGCTACTGTGACGGTGATGTGTGCCGGGTTATGTCGCTCTTGTTGAACGGTGTCAATCAGTGTATTTCCAGTATGGGCTCGCTCGAGGTGCAGGAGCTTCTCGGTAAGAAGGACGATCTTATTCGTGATTTGGAGGAGAAGCTTAAAGTTCGAGAGAATGAAATTACGGAGCTTAGGTCGCAACTGGATAAATTCCAGAGTGTTATTCCGTTTGCGACTGTCGGACCGACGCCAGGCAGCCCCAAAGGCCGGGCTCGCAAAACCAGAGCCCAGGGCATCTCGGCTGAACCCCAGACGTTGAAGACTGTACAGGAGTTGGCCGATCTCAGCCAGACAACCTTCCCAGAGGTCCCCAAAACTCAAAGGTAAGCGAGGTGGTCCCGGCATCTGCACACATGACGGTCACATAACATTCTCACTTCATTATATTTGTCTGTTTAGCCCAACCTGTGCACACATTAGTTTTGTTAATAACAACACTGTGGAGATGTTTCTTTGTCTATATAATTCATCTTATAGACAATAAATTCACATACTAAAGCTACAATTTTCTGATGGACTCTTACGATACATCAAATAACTTCATGAAAATTTCATGGCGGTGCTCAAAGGTGCATTGTCTGACGAAACGATGACAGTATTATCTTCCTGACATATCGCTACCTGAATTGTTATCGCAGGTAACCGTGATGACCCGTTGCACCTGTAGCATGTCGCCAGACTCTGCGTTTCCAGGTGTCCCCTCTTGCCTTTATTCGCCGTGAATCACCAACAGTCATCGTGGAAGCATGTGATTTATTACTCACTGCAACCATAATATTTTACAATGACAGTTAACAGGCATAAGACGCGTAGGTCCGGGTCAGACAAGAATCTTGTTAGCCCAGTCACTACAGTATACAAAGCGGGATGCGGCGATACACAGCTGGAAAAATGCAGGAGAAAAAGTTGGTTGATCATTGGTGGTTCTATTTTGTATGACAATGACGTAATTATCCGAGCAGGATGGCGACCATTGTGGCCGAGTTTACGTCTCACACTAGTGAGGGAGGACTTGACTCCTCTCCTCTGCCGACCAGCGACACACTTCGGTAAAAATCATAATAGGGAGAAGAAGACGTCTTGGGGGATGGTGTGTTCGTACACGATAAAGAGAGACTTATGGTAGAAGCTAGTGAGCTAACCAGTCCTGTATAATGATACCATTCAAGACGTAAGACGGATTTCAGTTGTCTTATAAAAGTAGACGATACGCCTAAGTTGGTGTGTTAGTAACTAGTTAAGTAGTGATGCTGGTTTTTGGGCAAGAGGCCCTTCAAGGAGCCTCCATCACAAGGGTAGATTACCGCTTCGAGATAATATGAAAAAAAAATACAGCTGTGAAAAAAGTACAATATTAGTAATCTTTGTTTCTATCTTATCACGACTTTTGTACCAAGGTACAGTAATGGTCTTGAGAAAGGATTTTAAAGATACTGCTCTAAGACGTTTAAATGATGTTTTCTAATATTAATGCAACATGAGTTTCTTAATTTATTACAAGGATGATTTGAAGTTGCTATTGTCTTGCATCTCTCTCACATTCTATATGATCTTGATATCGAATATAGTGTCATAACAAAAATAGACAAGAAATATAATGTTCCAGTATCGTCTACTGTTTTTTGGGGGGTTAGGGAACAGGTGGCCACGCTGTTTACCTCAACACTACCACTACATGTTACACCAACACCAGAACTTAATTTTTATTATCAAAACATTGGGGCTAAATGTTAACTAATAGTTTTGGTGAACATGTAGTACTAGCTGTTGTGGTGAACATGTAGTACTAGTGTTGTGGTGAACATGTAAGATTAGTGTTAAAATGAACATGTAGTACTAGTGTTGTGGTGAACATGTAAGATTAGCGTTGTGGTGAACATGTAGTACTAGTGTTGTGGTGAACATGTAAGATTAGTGTTGTGGTGAACATGTAGTACTAGTGTTGTGGTGAACATGTAAGATTAGTGTTGTGGTGAACATGTAGTACTAGCGTTGTGGTTCATGATTGTGTGAACATGTAGTACTAGCGTTGTGGTGAACATGTAGTACTAGCGTTGTGGTGAACATGTAGTACTAGCGTTGTGGTGTGTGTGGTGAACATGTAGTACTAGCGTTGTGGTGAACATGTAGTACTAGCGTTGTGGTGAACATGTAAGATTAGTGTTGTGGTGAACATGTGAGATTAGTGTTGTGGTGAACATGTAGTACTAGCGTGTGGTGAACATGTAGTACTAGTATTGTGGTGAACATGTAAGATTAGTGTTGTGGTGAACATGTAGATTAGTGTTGTGGTGAACATGTAGTACTAGCGTTGTGGTGAACATGTAGTACTAGCGTTGTGGTGAACATGTAAGATTAGTATTGTGGTGAACATGTAAGATTAGTGTTGTGGTGAACATGTAGTACTAGCGTTGTGGTGAACATGTAGTACTAGCGTTGTGGTGAACATGTAAGATTAGTATTGTGGTGAACATGTAAGATTACTGTTGCGGTGAACATGTAGTACTAGTGTTGTGGTGAACATGTAGTACTAGTGAACATGTAGTGTTATGGTGAACATGTAGTACTAGCGTTGTGGTGAACATGTAAGATTAGTGTTATGATGAACATGTAGTACTAGCGTTGTGGTGAACATGTAAGATTAGTGTTATGATGAACATGTAGTACTAGCGTTGTGGTGAACATGTAGTACTAGCGTCGTGGTGAACATGTAGTACTAGCGTTGTGGTAAACATGTAGTACTAGCGTTGTGGTGAACATGTAGTACTAGCGTCGTGGTGAACATGTAGTACTAGCTACTACCGTACAAGTTAATTATATATAAGAACAAACTATGCAAGAGAAACTTACTGTACATGATAGTAGTGAGGCAAAGTTTATCTTGGTTTGTTTTGAAATTATTTAGATTAATATTAGTTTCTGGACCAATGGCTTGAAAACTAAACAGATTTTAGCTATAGGTAGAGACGTAGGAGTATCATCATTTAACATTAATTTGGTGTGTCGCTGTGTTCCGTGTTTCTTCAAATGTCGTATGTCGTCTTTGCATTTTCATCTTTGGAGAATTTGACATTAGATTAAGTTAGTGTATCACTTGGTTCTCTGGGTGGCGTAAGTATTGAATTTTCCTTAAGGTTCCTGGGGATGAACGGCAGTAAACTATTGGTTACACTCAAAGTTTTTTATCACTGTCAATGGTCGATATGTGATCAATAGTGTGAGTTTTGACCTTGTTATGACCTAGAATTTGGTCTTTAGTCTTTAATATTACCAATAATATTTTTTTTTCACTTCGCAGTATTGCCGTTTCAAGTGTTGAGATAAAATATACTGCGATTTTGAAGTGTTATGAGTTATACCGGGAAGAGTCTGACGTGGCTCACCAACCTGGGTGTTGAAGAAGCTGATCTTGTGGGTTAAGGCGTGACGTGTAACTTAGAACGTTGGAACACTTGCGGCCAGATAAATTTACAAAGAATCAGAGTTCCATGAGACTTTAAAGAAAAAAAACAATACAAACAGTTTCCTCGATTTTTACTCTATTTTAAGTCTCTTTTGTAAAGCATCATCAAAAAACGGATTCGGGTTTTAGCGCCTACCTCTAAATCGACCAAAGTCAAGCCTCATAAATGTAAATATTGAACGTGATCTCAAAACCTCAGGATCTCATGGGTAAAACAACACAGTCACACTAGCCGGCGTGTCCACCAGATTGCTTCACGTCCAACGATTAAATGACAGCTGGGCCGGGCAATGGTCAGAAGAACTTTACTAGTGCCCCGTCATGGCCCCGAAAGCAATTTATAAGTGGTCCGGGTGCAACTTTTCGTGGCCCCGGATTGTCGGTCCATGCCTAGGTTCGAACACGAAATATAAATTCACAAACATGGTTATTTGATTTCATGCTTCTGTAGTGTAGGTATGAACTTCCTCCCGTCATTGTAAGCGGTGACAAGCTGTTCTTGGGACCCTCTCAAGGAACGCTTGGTTGTCCTAGGTCATCACCTTTTTTTGGCACCCCATTCACTGTGTTACACCTCACGTATTGTATGCAGGAGTAAACATTGGTGATATGATTATGATGTCATTGTGTTTCCTAGATTTCATCTACTCTAGGAACTGGGTTGAGACCAGTACGTTGACGGCCATAAGACACTTAAGGTGTACCTAATATACAAGACAATGAGAAACGACCAACATTTCATTAGTGTATTGCTGATAAGGGCGTTTATTTCGTTAGTATCGGCGAAATTGAAATTGGCGTGCAGATATTTGCAGTATTACCCGCATTATTAGGCATGTCAGTCCGATTTACACATTCACTTGTTATCGCACTTCTTAATAGACGTTACTGTGTACACTTTACACTTGGTGATCAAGTAAAGGCGGCGTCACACTAGCATTTTCCGTCAACTGTCCCGGTTTCTGTCGTTTTTTCCACGATTTGGCAATTTTTTCCAGCCCGTCTCTCTTAGACGAAACGTATTGTTTCCGCCTGACTGGCTTGTGCCAATTTTTGTGGTCTAGTCAAGATCTATACTCGATAACGAGGATATTTATATAAAATACATATAGAACCACGTAAAATAACTAGATTTAATTTTAAAAGTTATCAGCATCGCATTCTTTAATAAATTGGTGAAGTGTAATTTTCTTTTATTTATATTGATGTTCGTAAATACATCTGATATGTTTGTTTACATTGAGCCATATGTTCAACTTCTTCACGGCCTCTCTGTGTGGACACGCCTGACTGAGAACATATGATAGACAACATTAGATCTCCTTGTTGCCTGTGAGACCCAAGGGACGATAGATACAAAAAAAGATAATAAGAGAAAAGCATACAACGCCATCTTCTTTGTTTACAAATGACGAACGAGGAAAGACTGGCGTGTGTGACAAGGCGCGCTCAGAAAATTGGCAATTCTTAGAAAATTAATGCAATAAATTGGCGGAAAAAGTGTTAGTGTGACGCCGCCTTGAGGGTGGCCCACCACCCACCCTGGGAAAGTAAACAAGGAAACACTGTAATAGATGTCTCCCCCCCCCCCCTTTATCTCTCTCTCTTTCTCACACACACACACACACACGAGAGCGAGGTGGATCATCCTGACGAGCTTACACATAAGAGTCACTGATGTCAACATTATTTACTATCTACAGTCTTTGATAATATCACGAAGTACGTTACTTTTTCTCATAATGGCCGAGTTTGTGTTCAGTACCAGGGGGAGATGAGACTACTGGTAATGACGAAGGAAAGTTTGTGATACATAGTGACAGGAATGACTTGGTCGTGTGGAGTAGATTTGGAACTAGACAAC